TTTTCTGTTTAAAAAACAAATGCCCCCCCCCCCCCACTGCAAATTGTTTTGTCGACATGCCATACTAATTCATCTCTATAGTGAATTTTAATAGTTCTTTTTTAAACTCTACAAACTCACTGTCTGTCCACACTAGCTTACATACATAGGGTTTTCCCACTTTCATTGACAGTGTTGAGACAATAGATTGTTGGCTTTTGGTTAAAAAGGAGCATAAGCACTTAATTTATTTGCGTTTAGATAAATGTATCACCTATTCCAATCTGAAGAGAGATTATTTCTATAAAGACACTGCTTATAGGACAAGCAACAAATTTAAACCTTACCCTTTTCTGTGTGAAGACGCTTGAAAGAATCAGTTTTTGATAGACTTGGATCAGAGATAACTTTGGAACCAAGCTTAACTGTTAGGTCCACTGAACGAAAACCCTGAGGAAGTTTTCTATCATATAAAAGAGTAAGTAGCTGTGCAAGGGTCATTTCAGGTGGCAAAGGCTGACCTGAAAAAAAAGCAAAATTGAAAGTTCAAACAGAAGCCACAGTGAGGTTAAAAAAAACAAAAAACATTTTCAACTTCAGTTCAGACCATGCTTTCAGGGTCCCTTTATATCTTTGCGCTCTAGGTACGTTTTCCCACCTGCTTGCTGAAGAATCTGCAGTATCGAGAAAGTGCAGCTTTCATAGGGAAACATGGTACTATATTGTTGTAAAAAACAATCAAAATGTACCATACATGTATATTATAAGCTTTTTTTTCATTCATACAGATGTACAGCAGTGACGTGCGGTACCTCATATTTTGGGTGAGGCATTGCCCGCCCCCTCCCCGCGCCAGCCGAAGCCACGCCCCCCAACTGTCCCTAAACTAGTCTCTGCCTAGAAAACACATATATAAAAACAGAACCCAAAAATATAATGGCTTAGAAGCAAAAGACTTATTAACGTAATCAAAAACTGCTTTTGAACAAACTTAGTTGAAAATCTGAATGCACAACGATGGCATCTCTGTTCGTTTGTAGTTGTAATATGACTGTTTTTATTGGACAAAAAGCATTATTACAATAAAGAACATTAACTACCTGGAAGCAACTTATGGTAAAGGTGGAAAACAGGAATGCTAATGGTCTTGCTTGAAGAATCCACACCTGATGAGGTTCCTCCTACTTTATCAGCCATTACTCTTCCTCTTCTAGATGGTGGACGTGGTGGCGTAGAGGACACTGCCCGTTTTGATTGAGACTTCAAACCTTACAAGAAAGATGCAAAATGAATGCCCACTTATGACAGACGTCGGTGGCTACCGAAAAGCAATTATTTTCCTTCAACTGTGCAACAAATCTTCATAAAAAATGATTAAAATGTAGAAGGAAGAAACCTAAAAGTCAATTGTCTGCTAAGAGCAACCAATATATTTTACCAAGATAAAAATAAACAACCAACCAACCAGTCAACCCAAATTATGATATACACATTAACCGCTTGAAGACCAGGTGTTTAGACCCACTTCCTGTCCAGGCCATTTTTCAGTGTTCAGCGCTGCGGTACTTTGACATTTATCCCGTCATGCAACGCTGTACTGAAATTAATTTTATACCTTTTTTGGGGACAGATAGAGCTTTCTTTTGGTGGTATTTAATCACCACTGGGCTTTAAATTTTTTACTATATTCAGGAGAAATTACTGAAAATGTTGGAAAAAGAATTTTTTGACATTATGTTATAAAACAACTAATATTACCCACTTTTTTGGTAAAATATAAAAGACGGGGTCAAGTCGGGTAAATAGACACCAAACATGTCAAGTTTAAAAATTGCGTGCACTCGCGAAATCGCAAAAAACTAGCATACCCAAAATTGGCCATAGGCGACGCTTTAAAAGCTTTTACAGCTCATCAGTTTAGTGTTATCAGTGATTGATGGCCCTAGAACTATTGCTCTCATTCCGACGTTCACGGCGATATGTAACATGTGCGGTGTAATAGGCGCAATCGTCATTTTCGCAGGTATGCGCACCTGACGCATCTTTTTATGTGTAACTTTTTCCTATTAATCGTCACAGGACCTCATACAAGCGATCCGCCGGCTCTATATTAACGGGCATCGCTGCCTATTTTCAAATAGCGGACATTTCCCGCTCGAGCGTGCCCAGTTACATCCAAGAAGCTCCCGGCCGGCCATGTATACACAACGGCCGGCCAGGAGGTAGTTAAAGTTGGCTGACTAATATCTCCTGCGTATTACATGGACAATGATCTGATTTCACCAAAGTTGTGGCTCTGTGCCTGCCCACCCTGTAACCTCACATCTCTGGCTATTACAGAGCTGCTCCCAATAAAAAATCCAGTAGGGAAAGAGGGTCACATCGGTAATTGCTTTACCTGGTATGCAAATCTTAGAAACCAAGTGCAGAGAGAAATTGGTTGGCGATTCAACCTCTCCAGCATCTACTAAAAACCTTAATATTAAACTTGGGTGGACTGACTTCATAATGCAGAAAATGTGATGTCATATATGCAATTCAACAAAATAAAAAGGGAAAACATTCTTGCTGCCATTCTTAGAACTGAATGCAAAATTAACAAGGGAACTTTTGCCACAACTTCTATAGAATGTTTGACTGACTCATTGGAAGCAATTGTGTGTGCAAGGAAACAGCCAGCCAAGTTAGTAAAGGAAATATGCCAGCTTACTACAAAAGAATAAATAGCCTGAACTAAAGTGATAAATGATTTTCTTTCACAAGCACTCAATTAACCTTGCCCTGCTTAGCCGGTACATCAACCGGTACAATATTGGTGTCCTATCAACATTTTGTAAAGTAATAAAGCAATTTAAACAACACAATGTTCTAAGAACATATGCAGATCAGGCCTTTTACTCCAGTGCCAGAAAAATATCTGGTTTTGTGATACAAGTACAGGATTTTTTTTTTTTTGCATCTTCTATCAATGACATGCTACTATATCTCAGTTACTACCATAAAAGTGTTTTAAAAAGGATTAGAAAATTTGGTTCTAGAACCTATGTATTTACTGTCAAAATGGTAATCGGTCTACCTAGAAGTAGTGGTGCCAGAAAGGTAAACCGTGATGGCCCTCATCACATCTCCTTGTGGTGAACTAATGCCAAACACAGAAAATGAAACACAATATCCTTAAGGTGAAAAGTAGAAACCACTTTAGGATCTTGGGACTCAAAACAACCTAGTCTTTATGCAAGATCAAATGGAGCTCCATACAGGACAATGCTGACAAACCACTTGGCTGAAGTGTTGGCCACAAGGAAGGCTACCTTACGGAATAGCAACATCGAACGTATTTACCAAACAGGTTAAATGAAAGTGGTTTCTGTGGCACCAACAATTTTAAAATTGTATCTCAAAGTTTTAAGGGGGAACTAACAAGGGAAGCAATATGAGTAACCCTTTGTAGAATTGTATGAATCCATGAATGATTAGAATGAGGGTGTTGAAAAAGAAAATACAGTGCAGACAATTGTCTCATATCCTGGAAACAAAGCTGTGTATGCCCTAAAAATACACATCTGCTGTTACCACACACAGACAACACCTCTGGATGGAAAGTCCATTGCCCTGAGTGCAGAGGTTGTCTCATTTTGGGATTGATGTGGTCAAATCTGAATTTGCAATTTCTCCTGGGGCAAAAAGACATCCAGGAGAAGGCCCAAGTACTGTAACCAATGCAAACCATAAAATGCTTCACAGTCAGTCTGGGGTACGTCTTCTAAAATGCTGCCAAACAAATCTACTGTTACTCTGGCTAAACAACTATCTTTTTATTCATCAGTTCAAAGCACAGGAACTTCTTTTAGCATCAGTCTACTCTTGGGCTGAAATTGCTAGGCCAGCCGGGCCTGGACAAAATCGGCAGTTGTCTGAAATCTATGCTACTTGTAGATTAATTTTTCTTACAGTTGAATGATTGATGTCAAATAATTCGGAAATGTTTTGAAATCATGGTTTTGAAATGGTGGACATTAGAGGGTTATACATGACAAATGAATTTAGAATGAATACATGTCATTTGTTTAAATATATTACCTTTAACTGTAGGCACTGTTAAAATAAAAGATCTAATGTTTGCCCCTTCAAATATGTTAAAAAGTCAACATTGCCACATGACTGTAGATCTCCAGTATGCAACACAGAGCCACGATCTATGCACTGAACACAAAGACATAAACCTATACTGAACAGAACCTATGGATGCAGAGTAAACAGCAACTGTCAATAACGCAAAATGAATGGTCTCATGTCATTATTTTAAAGGAGAATTTTAGGAACACCTGGACTGAAAAGATATCAGTAGATTTTACACACACACTGCCAGCTACATGCACTTTACAGTTGGGAAAATAAAGAGATGCAAACAAGCAATAGCAACTATCATACATTTTACAAGCTTGGCAGAAAGAAAACATACTCATTGCCTAAACAGTAAAGGGTAAACTATGTAAACAGTAAAAGTTAAAAAGTGTTCCACATTTACCTGATGCAACAACCACACTGTAATTATCCTGGAATCCATTCTCTGCTTTCACCTTCTCTTTCTCCTCATGGTTTCTCTTCTCTTTGTCATCCTTTTGTTCACTTATTAACTTTGCAGTAATACTAGGTGTATCTACAAAACAAAAAAGTGTGAGGTTTCCCCAATTAGTGACATTCCTAATCATACAGCTTTCAAACAAACTAGTTAAGGTAATTCCTCCATTTCCTAAACGGAATATGCAGTACTTTGAGTTGTAACAAAACACATAATTAAAGATCAGCCATATATAATAATTTTTGTTTGTAATTTTCTGAAGAACGTGCTTCTATATACAGTTTGGAATTAGCAAAGTATTTTTGTGGTAGTATTAGTAGTTTTGCAGTATATTTGCCACTTACATACATAGGCCCACATACAACAATGGATGTTACTTAATTGTTGTTCTTCAAGATGCAAGTACGGTATATGAGTTGCGGAGTTCCCCAAAAACAGTACACACCCTATGGAGGGCTAATATCTTAACAGTTTAGAGCAGAGGTAAACCCAATACTAGAAAAAAAAAAAAACAGATGCAGGCCAGGCATTGCCCTAGTATTACAAGCGTTACACTACAAAATACCCTAAAGCAGAAGGCTGGTCTGCAACAATATGTTTTACTGCCCTTCCCCTGCATTCTATGCAGCTTTCTCAACAGTAATTGACTTTGAGCAGCCATCCCTATGTATACCGTTTACACACCGTTTAACCAAAATGTTAAAAGTAGACTGTATACCAAATGCTGTGTGTTACATGCGTTTGCAGTCCAGATCACACTGCACAGACACTGTTCTGAGCTCCTCTTGCTTATCCTATACAAGTGGATAATAGAGCACACATCACCTAATACAAATAAGGAACACAGCAAGCCATTCGGAAGCCGATTAATCGATTATTGAAAAAGTTGACAACTTTTTCAATAATCGATTATAATCGATTATGTCGATTAGTTGTTGCAGCCCTACAAGCCAGTTCTACTCACTGAAAAACACTGTATTCACAAGGAGAGCAAGCATTACAGCACACTGCTACCTGCAGTTTTTGAGTCCTAGGTAGGATTTACTATGCACAGGAAACAGGCAGTACAATAAGGTCTCGTTCACACCTAGGCGTATTGCATATGCGCGTCTGTCGCGCGTTTCCGAAGGCTACTTGGCTGTATCCCAATGGAAACGTGCAACAAAACGGCCCAAAGTAGTACATGTACCTTTTCAGGCGTGGGCCGTTTTGTAGCGCGTTAGGGACGGGCGGATATACGCCAAGGTGGGAACGAGACCATTGAATACAATGGGATTTATATTTTTGAGCGTTCGTCGAGCGTAGAACGCGCTACAAAACGTTCAGGTGTGAACGAGGGCTCACTCTTTCTCATCCAGATTTAACAGGCTCTATGGCAGTTATGTACACCACAGAGAAGCAGCGACTAACACCCTATAAAGCCCAGGTGTCTTGTCATAAAATCTAGACAGTAAGCAGGGAGTGTGTCACTTTGTTTCAAACTTTCATCCTTGGGTTATCTCAATAGGTGTGCAGGCAGGGTGACAACACGACAGCTTTTGGGTAAGGGAAAAGGTGCATGCCATCACCCTGAGAAAGGAAGCACCAGGGATTTAATTAAAAGGTAATTCTATTACTAACGCTATTGCAATTACAAGGTGTATGTGTATTGAAGCATCAAAAAACAATATTTTGGGTTTAAATACTAGGGATGCACGGATACTATTTTTTCAATATCGAGTACGGATATATTGATACTCCCCAATACAGAGTACGTCTGCCCCGATTATCAGGAAGTCAGGCAGCGGTTTATGACCTGTCGCCCGGGCTTCCTGATTGCCTGTGAAGCTGGTGTTCTAGCGAAAGAACACAGGCTTCACTTCCCGAAGCTGCCTGGATCCTGACCAATCAGGAAGCCGGGCGCCAAGTCATGAGGTGCAATCCGGCTGCTTGATTGGTCAGGAAGCCAGGCTGCACAGCAACAAGTGAATCTGGCTTACTAGCCAATCGGGAAGCCAGAAGGCACATCATGACCCGCCTCCAAGCTTCCTGGTTGGCTAGGTAGCCGGCTTCATTTGTTCCTAGGCAGCCTGGCTTCCTGACCAATCAGGAAGCCGGGAGGTGGGTCATAACCCACTGCCCAGCTTCCTGATTGGAAAGGAAGCCGGCTGCATGCTCCCTCGGTACTGCCTGTCAGAGGGAGAGTACTCACCCAAATACTCAGTATTGGCACTTTAATAAATACTTGCAGCAGAAGCCTGCAAACCCTGCAGCTATGCCCCAACGCCTGTGTAGCTGACAGAGGTCAGGCACTTCATGGTAATCTCACAAAAATTATTTAATTAGCTTTCTTTATAACCCTTATCTGTCATTGCTTTTGCGAGGAAATACATAGGGTCAAATCTCACTCAAACTCCTCCACTCTTCAACGCAACGTTCTGAACGGTAATCCCTCATGAGTTGGGAGTTTTAACTCCTAGGGATTATTGCACCAGCTCATACAGCGTAGGGCATAAAAACAAAAACGTTTCTGTGCTGCATTTTTTGTTTAAAGGTTGCAGTTTAAAAATCCATTTAAAACCACCAATGTTACACAAATGGCAGCTGTTCTGCCCTGTTCACATCATGCAAGTGCCTTGGTGTTCGTTAGGGCAAAATGCAAACGATGCATTTTTATGTAACGCACAAAAACTCAAGTACATCAACACAACGTGCCAATAATACATTTTTGCTTTGTTTATCTCTTGATGTGAGCTGTACATGAACATTTAAAACATGGTTCAATGCAAAGTAAAATGCAGCGCCATATTAAATACCCCCAAAAGAAAGCTCTATCTGTCCCCAAAAAATGGTATAAAATTAATCTCAGTACAGCGTTGCATGACGGAATAAACGTCAGTCAAAGTATCGCAGCGCTGAATACTGAAAAATGGCCTGGCCAGGAAGGGGGTCTAAACACCTGGTCTTGAAGTGGTTAAAGGTCAGCGCGCTTTACCATGTGTCAACATGCATTTTCTGTGCCCTACGGTGTGAACAAGCTTTAAGGTGGCCATACACTATACCCCGATCTAGCATAGTCAAATGTCGATTTCAGTAATCGTTTGTTAGCCATACTAGCCAAAAAACTTTTGATGAGCGACGAAAATAATTTCCTTTTGCACATGTGATGTTTTATTGCTATTATTTGACGAACAAAAACCTCACTGATTCCTCAATTTTCCAAGAAAAATTTTATTGAAATATTCTGATCACAATATAAAAAACTAAACTTGGTGATGTACCATCAACGGTCCAATTTTCGTTCGAAAGACCGTCCATGTACGATTTCTGAACGAAAATCGTACAATGTATGGCCACCTTTACTTTACCTTCAGCAGCTCTGTAGAATCCTTTGGAAGTAAAGACACACAGCTCCCTCACGGCTAAACAGAGGCCCATGGGGGTGCTCACAGGCCGAGCACATTCCTGCTCCCAGTTATCAGTGTCAAACACAAAGGAAGCCGGTCACTCACCAGGTAACGTCACTGACAAACAAACGTTTTAGACAAACTCATCACTCCCAACTGCCCCTTTGACGAGTTTCACCGAATCACGGGCTTAGTCAGAGATCATCTCTACGGCCAAGCCTGTGATTAGATGAAACATGTCAGAGAGGGACGAACTGTGGGCGGAACTCTGGCACAGATGAGTTTAAATAAAGCATTTGTTTGCTATTGACCGCTAGATATATAAGCGGCTCATGAAGAAAAAATATCAAAAGCCACCACAGCAACAGCTATTGCTTGCACTTGCTTGTGATTGCGCTTATAGCAATTGTAAAGGTTTAAAGCCTCGCCAGAGACCAGTGGTGTCTCTCAAAAGCCTCCTTGCTAGAAGCGTGGACAGGGGTGCTGAAAAAGTGTCGAAGGGGGAGGGGAAAGGAGGCAGCTGTGTGCAGTAAGAGATGAATACCCTCTGCCTCATGGCAGTTGTAGGCAAACAAAGATGTGCACGTGACCAGAATTAATGTGCACGGCTCTTACCAAGTGGCAGGAAGTGTGAGTGGAGAGAAGAGCAAAAGGAGCAAGCACAACAGACTTTCTAAAGGAATTAAAATAGTAAGACTTTATTTTAAAACAATGTGGCTTTAGAGAATGTTCATTGTGTCGGTGTATAAGGAGAAAAAAAGCTCAGGGTTTTGGGTCTCTTTAAAAAAAAAAAAGTATAAACACACTGATCAAATGCAAAAACATGTGTCCCATCATCGGACATAGGAAAGCCTACTCAAACAGGCTGGCACCAATCACAGGCTTGTGAGAGATGCACACTTCTGACTCTGCAGCAGATAACTGGGTTAGTTGATATATGACATTTTATTTTTACTACCGGTAGCAGGCTAAAGATTAGCCAAAATAGGATCTTTAATCCACAAAGTTAGTGCAGGCATATAAAGTAAATGGCTTATTCTGTCTTTCTTGTGTACTTCAGGGCAGTCAAAAATGCAACCTATGAATTGTTATGGTTAACATGCCAAAAAGGTTGGCAATGCACGAACACACACACGTGAAACTCAAATAATTAGAATATCGTGCAAAAGTTTATTTATTTCACTAATGCAACTTAAAAGGTGAAACTAATATATGAGATAGACTCATTACATGCAAAGCAAGATAGTTCAAGCCGTGATTTGTCATAATTGTGATGATTATGGCTTACAGCTCATGAAAACCCCAAATCCACAATCTCAGAAAATTAGAATATTGTGAAAAGGTGCAATATTCTAGGCTCAAAGTGTCCCACTCTAATCAGCTAATTAAGCCATAACACCTGCAAAGGGTTCCTGAGCCTTTAAATGGTCTCTCAGTCTGGTTCAGTAGGAATCACAATCATGGGAAAGACTGCTGACCGGACAGTTGTGCAGAAAACCATCATTGACACCCTCCATAAGGAGGGAAAGCCTCAAAAGGTAATTGCAAAAGAAGTTGGATGTTCCCAAAGTGCTGTATCAAAGCACATTAATAGAAAGTTATGTGGAAGGGAAAAGTGTGGAAGAAAAAGGTGCACAAGCAGCAGGGATGACCGCAGCCTGGAGAGGATTGTCAGGAAAAGGCCATTCAAAAGTGTTGGGGACTTTCACAAGGAGTGGACTGAGGCTGGAGTCAGTGCATCAAGAGCCACCACACACAGACGGATCCTGGACATGGGCTTCAAATGTCGTATTCCTCTTGTCAAGCCACTCCTGAACAACAAACAACGTCAGAAGCGTCTTACCTGGGCTAAAGAAAAACAGACCTGGTCTGTTGCTCAGTGGTCCAAAGTCCTCTTTTCTGATGAGAGCAAATTTTGCATCTCATGTGGAAACCATTTAAAACGGCACATATTAAATCCACGAAGCTTTGCAGAGTTAGGTGATTCAAATGTATAATTTGTACTCACAATGGCACTTAATTTTCTATGTTCATAGACTAAACACAGATTGTGGAACCATTGCAGTCCCTGACAGAAATTATGGCTTTTTCCCCCATATCCCATGAATTTTAAGTCATGCTTACACCCTTTAAATCTCTGCGCATCTAATACTTAGCATTATAATTATGTACTGCAAGGTACAGGAGCTGTTTCCCAACTCTAGATATTTGTGGGTGTCAAAAGTGCATGTTTCACCTTTTGATAGAAACACATACTGTATGAAATAAGTGCTATTACTATTTCTAACAAAAGTTTAGCTTTACTAAACGGACAAATACAAACTATTTGACAGCAGCAAATAACTGTAATTTAGAAACACTAATCTAACAATCTTGCAAGGAATTTATAATATGCACGTTGCGCAAAAAGTGGTTTCTGTTGAAGAAAGAATTGTGTCAAAAATATATAAGAATCAAACTATGTTATCCAAGGCATCCACATCCTTACTTCCTTTTGGGAGCAAAAAAATAAAGAAAAAAAAATGATTAAAACAGACTATGAATATTTAACCACCAAAAAAAAATAAAAAATCTTAAAATATGCAGTTGATCCAGATAAAGGGAAAAAAACATTACTCCAACAGAGATGATTCCTTTCTGATACTTAAAGAAATGTTGATAAAATCTCGTATCAACATTGTACAATGCTATATGTAATAAATAATACAGCTTATGTTTTGTGCAATTAGAAGTACACCCTGCACTTTTTAAAAGAAATCTACTGATCAGTAGATATTTTTGGACATGAAAGACAATTCCCCGTTTTTGTATAATGGACAATAAAGAACCCTTCACATCAGCTGAGATAGATTGCAAACACTCTCCATGTAATTTAAAGCCACTGTCAGCGATTTTCTCAGCTAAAATACTTCAGTTCTCGAACCTGTATACCCCTATGGGCCAGAACAATTTTTACATTTTTACCATCAGCCTGTTTGGACATCTTTATCATTACTTTAAAAAAGGAGTACATACGCTGTTTTTTTGGTGTGCTGGGGGTGGGGACTTTTGTTGGCAAAATTGTTTTGAAAAAATTATTTTATTTATTTTCTGTGTTGGCTCTCTGAGAGTGCTAATTATAAGGATCCAATAGGCTCTAAAGAACCACAGGCACCGATTACAATAGCAGGTGAAGGTTGGGATTAGCCAACCTCTCCCTAGCCCTCCTAAACTGAGTCAGTGGTATGCTCTGACATCACTAACCTGGTTATCCAAAGAAGGGGTGAAGAGATGATGTCCCTTAAAGACTAAGCAGGTCAAATGCTCTATGGAGGGATCTGACCCAATCTGCCACAGTTTGACAGATTAAGGTCACTGCCAATACATAACAGAGGGCAAAACCAATGAATTCAGACAGCACAATATTCTAGTAGCTGGTCAAGAGAATCCTTAAAGGGTAAGCACACCTTTGATCTGTCTAATAGTTTTCCTTTTAAAGTGGGTCACCACTGGATCCACAGTGGGAATAGACCACTGTTTAACAAATTCCCTCTAAAGGGGGAACAGATCCAGTACACTCAAGTGGGGCTCAGGACTCTTCATGGTGCTTCCATTACCACTACCTCAACTTAAGCAGGGGACTAAATTAGAAAGAATGCCCAGTACTGCGATTGTTCCAGACTGTCTATGTAGAAACTTATGGAGGAAAGGGCTGCCTCCAGGGAAGCCTGCTTTCTGTTTGTGCACTGTAATATATACCCAATAGTTGGTAACTTCAATTTAAGAGTTTAGGACCACACTTAACAGAGATGCCTTGATAGGCAAGTCTGACATCCACATTAATTTGCCAATGTATGCAACAAAACCTCGGTTTCTAAACTGAGAAGTTGAAACAGATTAGTGTTTTTGCTGGGTAGCATGAAAGTGTGCCAGAAGCCTTATGCATTATTTTGTATATTGTACTGCTCGTATACACCCTTCTCTTTTTTGCACTGCATCTCAGTCCTTGGCTTTATTAGCACAGCTATTGAAGTCCAGGTGCAGAGAGGGAGAGGTCTCCAAGGCAGTGATCTTGACTACGTTGCCAGGCTCATAAGCCTTACTAAAAGTCAGGGTCATTATTTTATATAGAAAGCTTACTTTCCGTGTCTCAGGTTTTGTGCTTTCCTTATCATTCAAGGCACCATGTCATCCGTCATAGAGGTAATGATAGGTCTTTTTTAAGTGCTAATCTCCAAATTGTACGGATTTACCACTATGCTCATATACTAATGGCTTTAATGAACTAAAGTCTAAAAAAAAAGCATTTTTATAGCATCTAAAATCAGTTTAGACCCCTTAAAAAATACTTTATTGGCTCATTAAAAAAATACCTTGGTGGGTTATTAAGTTAGTAAGGGTGCCAACTGACAAATACACTGATAATAACTGTGCCTGCTTTAATATCAGTAAGGGACAGTGTAGAAATGCTCCTTGAACACTAAAAGGCATAACATGCTGAAACCCTAACCATACAATGCCTAAGATCTTTTCCAATAGATGGGGGGGGGGGGGGAAGGAGTCAAAGAAGGAGGGTTT